GCACAGGGGGGAAAGGTTATCGAGTGAAGAGATAACAAGCAGATTTAAAGGGCGGCAAAGGGATAAAACGCTAATCCAAAAAAAGCTAATCGCCGGTTTAGGAGTGGGACAGCTTGTGCTGTTTGACTTAAAAACAACCTTTTATATTGTCGGTCCTTAGCTCCGAGAGATCGGCATGTCTCGCGCAGATGGCATTCCCCTCTGCCTGGTCCTTATTTTATTTGCCGTTGCAGCGTTTTGCGTACCGGTGCCCGACTCCGAGCCGCTAATAGCAAACGGCTGGGGGCAGTCTGTCCGCCTTAGGCATCTGTACGCTGCCAGGCATGGAGTGAATCTGCAGATCAACGAGGACGGTACCGTAGACAGCTCATCTCTGCAAAGTCTTTACAGTGAGTAATTATATGCAATATGCACAACGTGCACAAATGTACCTGGAAGCAGTCGGCCTACTTGTCATATGATGTAAAATTGCATATCGCAACAGTCACGTCAAAAATACACGTTTTACATTTTCACCTGTGAATAATTTAAATTGCTTTTGACGTCGGTTCTGAGATGGATGGACGGCTGTCCAGTCCAACGTACTTTTCATATGGAAAACGTGTTTTTAAAAGATGATCGGCAAACAAGTCTACGGCACAAATTATATTAAAAGTAATGTTTTGCTTAAGGTTTGCTGGAGATCAGATCGGTTGACACTGGCTTTGTTGCAATCAAAGGAGTGAAGAGTGCTTACTATCTCTGCATGGAAGAAAGTGGAAAACTGTATGGATCGGTAAGTTACTGTACTGGATAAATCAGTTAACACTGCCATATCGAAACACATACGCCTGTTTTTGTTGTTTAGTGATATGTTATCACTTCTTTGATATTGTAATTAATATTGTGTGTTGTGTGATTTCGTCATCCAACAACGGTACTTGGTCGGATTATAATTTATTATGTTGGGGGATATTTGTAAACTTGAAAGAGCTGTAATAAGAATGAAAACACCTACCCGAGAACACCCCGTGTGGATAAATATCAGTGGCCAACCGTGTTCCGTTCTGTGTCCCATTGGGCTGACGCACGTTCCACCCATTCTGCAGTTAAACGTCATGCGAGAGCACTTTCTATTAATGAATCAGTGAGGTGCAATGCTGAGCACCTGTCCTTGTGTGATCCGGTAGTTAGTAATGATGGTAGGTCCCAATGTGGTTCTCAGGTAGTCAGAATACAATATTACTTATAGTAATGCCCCTCATAGCAACATATATGTACGTATTGATGGTATTGCCATCAATTTGTGTGTTATAGTGACTCATTGAAGTGTTACATAGAGATACGGTCATCAGTGTAATTTTTGTTATTCTGTCTATCTTCTCGCTGTTTATCCTGAACAGGGTCACAGGGAATTTTTGATGTCGCTGCTTATTTAAAATGAAATTTACTCCTACTAGTCAATGCAGTAATCTGGCCAGAAATGTAAAATATAGATTTAAAAACATAAATCAATTCAAGCTTTTCTAAAATAAAAACTTTATTCTGTGTTCTGCTCATTATTTTCAGTTTACAAAAAGATATGTACCTGCAACATGTTTCTCTTTCTCAAATTATTTTATGATGAGCTGGTGTATTATACTTTTAAAGAGAATGTGCAAATGGCTACATTATTAAAATATAAAATGTTCTGCTATAATGTACCGAGAGTGATCCAAACTAATCGATGCGGAATTTGGCGCTAATTGTTGTATTTAAGCTATATTAGCGTGGAGTCAGTCGCAAAGGCCAAGGGTAGGGTCATGTTGCCAGAGCAACCTTTGCTCACTGCCAGGGTATGTTTGTGCAGTTCAAAACCTCAATGAAAGGACACAGCAATGACGACCTTGGCCTCCCATTAACTCTGAGTGCCATAGCTGTGTGTGCTATGTAAACAGGCCTATAGGAACCAAAAGCTCCACCAGGTAGGGCAGCATTTTGAAGTCAGGCCTCTCTCTTACCTCCTGTCTCTCCACAGCGCACCTACGTAAAAGAGCACTGCTCATTCCGAGAGCGCATCCTGTCAGATGGCTACAGCATCTACGTCTCAGACAGATACCGGACGATGGTGACCCTGAGTATCGGCAGGCAGAAGGTCCAGGCCGGAGACAAAGGCCTATCCTCACTGTCCCAGTTCTTACCCATGGCGAGCACACTTTCTTTGGGGGCAGTCGATGTGTCCCCGAAGGACCCTGGACCCGGAGACCCTGAGAACGGGAACTCACCCCTTCAGATCGATAGCATGGGTCCCTTTGGGGACCTCTCTCAAGTTTTCATCCATAGTCCTAGTTTCAACAAAAGATAAGTCTGCCTCACCGTCTTTAACGGACATTTGTCCACACAAAATGTAAGGGAAGAAACTGGTTTTATGAGACAACTTAAAAACTAACTATAGTAAAAACAAAAATGCATTATGAAGCTGCAGCATGTCCCACATGGTAAAATGATCAAAGGGAGACAACTTTGGAAGAAACTCCACCTCATAACCCACCACTCCAGGAAGCATCAAACAAGGAAAAGAAAAAAGAAGAATACAAAACACATATTTTATTTTAGGTTCAAACATTTTTTTTACAAACATTAGTGTATAGTTTTGTGTATTTAATTATGTTTTTAACATTAATACAAAGAAGTATATGATGTTTGATATGTATTGATATTGTCTACATTGTGGTAGATATTTCTAATTTCTGTCTTTTTGTAGAATTTGTTCACAGATTTTTAACAGTAGTTTATGAATTTTTTTAAATTCTTTTGTTGGTTTGTGAATAAAATTACATTGTGCAACATTTATTATTTTTGTAAAGGCTAAAAATCTAATCTCCTGTTATTTCAAATAACTTAAATATTTTGTATTGTAGAAACAATTAAGAAAATGTGCAAATAAAATTCTCACACCTCTAGGACTGTGTACTTTATTCTCCCCCACCCCCAAACACACAATATACATCGGTAGAAATTAATCAAAGTTTGAATGACATAAAATCTAGATTACAATAATGAAAGTAAATTATTACTGGACTGGACCAAAATCCATTAGAACAAAAAGCTGTGTAAGATATCTATCTATCTATTTTCTGTAACCACTTATCCTATTTAGGGTTGCAGGGGGTCCGGAGCCTATCCCAGAGGCTATGGATGCAAGGCAGGGAACAACCCCAGATAGGGCACCAACCCATCACAGGGCACACTCACATACCATTCACTCACACATGCACACCTGCATAAGATATATTATGCTATAATAGAGATACTGATATCATTGTGATTTTTGCGATTCCATTCATCTTCCAGCTGGTTTAATTGTTCTCTGATTAAATATGAAGTCTGAATTTGTATACAGTCATTTGTCAGTATAGGATCCTGCTGGCAGTTATCATCATAGGCACAATTGCGCCATCTAGTGTAAAAATATAAAAACGCTTTCAAATTTGAGCGGTTCGTTGAGAGGCATATCGAGTAATGTGGGAGGGGTTTATAACTGCTATCTGATATCCTAACCCCAACCCTCATTATAAACCCCTCTTACCCCTCGTGATAAACCCCGCCTACTTTGTCATTGCCACTCGACACTCGACTCCCTGCTCCAGTGATATATACTTGGGTTTGCTGGCTCAGTGTAAATACTTTGTTGGAGAGCAAGCAAGGCAGTTTCACTGTCTCAGGCATTCCGTGCTGCACGCAAAGGAAATCGTCTTGCTAAGTCAGTGCCCCACAGAAGTTGGTGCCCTTGGCAGCCGCCTATGTGTGACCTGCACAGCCAGCAGGATTGAGGTTTACAATCCTGCCTCTGCCCTGTGTGTGTGGATGTAGCGTATTCTTCCTTTATCAGGCAGATTTTCATTGAGCGCTCCGCTTTTCTCCTGCAGTTCAAAGCCATGCAGTCAGGCTGATTGGCCTCTCGAAAGAGCCCATTGTGCCTGTGAGTGTGTGCATGCATGTGCCCTGGAATGGGCTGGCACCTTGTCCAGCGTGTGGCCCAGCCTTCCGCCATGCACTACCTAGGAAATGTTCCAACCCTTCAACCCTGGTCAAGACAAGCAACTGAATGGATCCCCACAGACATTTTCTATTGTCTGTAAAACATCTGAACTGACTAAAAAAAGGCATAATCTGTTCATAAGAGGAATACCATACCCACCTAAAAATGACAGTAATATTATTAATCTACAACAAAACAATCCTCAGCAGGCCTATATTTCTATGGGAGAAGTCAACATTGATGCAGATTAGCTCAGGAAATAGCATATTATTATGTTATACAAAGAACACCTCAAAACCTGTGAATTTAACTAAGAAAAGGAAAGGCTTTAAAATGGCATATAAAGTATAATAGTAATTTCAAAAAATGGACATTTATTGAAATAAAAGAAATGAGAATGATGGAATTAAATCAAAATCTACACATAGTAAGGTTCATTTATGGATATGTAATTTGTCCAGTAAAAGAATTATGTCATCTTAATCAAGTAACAGTTTATGCCGTCATATTTGAAGCAGTCAAATAAGTCAAGCAGCAAGTTGTCCCATAGTAATTTGGATGATGGACATTATTATAAACGCACATCAGAATAACTGGTCAAGGGGTGCTGGAAGCTGGCTGAACCCCCAGATTTGGCCATTCACCTGTATATGTATCCAGGGGCCCCCTAAGGCGAGGGGAGCTAGGATGATTCCAAGGGGGGCTAAAAAATTAGGAAAATATCTGGATTGCTTTGGACTGAGGACCCAATATAATATGCCTTCATGGGGTCCGAAATCTCTAGCAACGCCCCTGTATGTTTCTGTGTGCCTTCTAGAAAAAACGATTGGAATCTGAATAATAATAAATAGCAGACTTTTGCATAAACATTACATTTTACTGATAAAATGACAGCTTTACGTTGAAGATACAGTGATTGACGTAGACACCGACGGTATTGCGGTCCCAGGCCTTTCTCACATCCCACCACTAGATGACGCTATCAGATTATCCAGAAGTTGTATTAGATTTCCAGCAACCTTCTTGGCGAAGCAGCGCCGGCGGCTGCTCTGGTGCAGTACCTTCGTGTTACGAGGTGTGTGAGTACTTTCAGGGAAACTGCGCTTGTCTGACAGGCTGCTCGTGAACCGGGAGTCCTTGTCGCCTTTTTTTTCTGGTTCAGGTCACTCAGGCGTGCAATTTTACGGCTTTTCCCCCCGTATAAAATCGAGTTTAATGCCTTAGGTGTATATGCGGCCTCTGCATCTTTGTGCCGATCGCTTCCGTAGCTTTGCATAAATGCTAATACTATGAAAATGTTTACAGAACTTTACAGAAGCTTTCCGTAGTTGTATTACCATTTGCAACGTAGTTTGCTGCGGTTTATTGTTGTTCTTATTCACTGTTAGTTTCACATAATTGTAGTTGATTTATTGCTTATATCTCTGGCCATTTGCTTCTGTAATATTGTGTATATATATTATTGCATAAATAAAACGCCGCTTACTTGTACTAGTGCTGTGCGCGGATGGGCGTACCTATTTGTGTCAACAGCTGATATAAAATAGTATTTTTGTTGTGTGGATTTATTTCGGAGCTTGCCTGACGTTGCATCTGACTTAGGGTATCATCGGCCGTCCTAATTTGCATAGTATTGGATACGGTTCTCTTTGTGTTGGTTCATTTTTGCACTAAAATGCTATATTGATGTAGAATCATAACTGGTGGCGCAATATCTGTATATTCTGGTTAATATTTCAAACGTGCTGTTTTTTTTCCTCCTAGGACATGTAAAAGGCTATAGTGATGAATGAAATAAACTTGCTCTGAAATGTCGGTGATTCTGTGTAGTGTGTCAGTGTTTGTGCTGAACGCCGGTGTTGTATGCGCCCCGTCTAGATGACACCGTCTTAAATGAGACCTAACCTCACTACTCTGGCGTTTCCTTGGTGGACCCAGAATGGGCCAGCAAATCTCCGGTCAAACGCAGACGGTCATCAACAGGCTGCCTGAGAAGGTGATGAAGCACGCCCTGCTGGTGCGTGACAGCGGGTACCTCACCTATGAAGAGTTCCTGGGCCGGGTGGCAGAACTCAATGATGTGTAAGCTGTCCTACTGTGACTTTAAGAGGGTCAAACGACAGATGACAGTCATCTGTTTACTGCATGTTACTGAGGGTTTCTATCCTTGTTGTTTGTGTTTTGACTCTTCAGAACAGCCAAGCTGGCTGTCGGGCAGCCGAAGCATTTACTTTTTGAAGTTCAGCCAGGGTCGGATGCCTCAGCTCTTTGGAAGGTCGCAGTGAGGATAGTGTGTACGAAAGTGAGTGATGTCAGTGGATCGGGGGGCTGTTGCATTCCTGTTGAAATGGTTCCGGGAGCTTCTGATGACTGTGTATACCCTGTGTGATGGCAGATAAACAAGGAGAACGGCATGGTGGAGGCCTCACGCATCATGAACCTCTACCAGTTCATCCAGCTGTACAAGGACATCACTGGCCAGGCAGCAGAGGTGCTCTCTGTAGAAGGCTGCTCTGGGGGATCCTCTGTGCCCTTAGCCTCCGTGGACTCCTGCCAGGCTAGCATGTGGATGGGCAGGTAATGCCTATAAGGAAATGACCCTTGGAAATGAATCGGATGTGTAGTGTCAAGGCTGTTTTTGGAGCATGACATGAAACTGATTTGGCCATGAGGTGCCATTTGCAAACTGATGCAATTCCATTTTCATAGAGTTGGTATGGTTCTAGTATGGTGAGTTGCTTGCATTATCTGTATATGTGTGTGTGCTGTAAATAGGGTGAAACAGCTGACGGATGAGGAGGAGTGCTGTATCTGTATGGATGGGAAGGCTGACCTCATCTTGCCCTGCACCCACAGCTTCTGTCAGAAGTGCATCGATAAGTGGTAAGAGTCACCTCCTTTCACAACCATTAATAATAGCCAGGCAATGAGTTGCAGGTCTGCTCCCATCAAGTGTCTTACTGTACTCTGCATATGCTCCGTTCAGTGTGGGATGCCTGGTGCTGGATGGGGTCTGTTTAAAGGAGCCCTTCATATGCTCATTATCTAGATTCTGTTACTCTCCAGTGGAGACCCAGAGCAGGAAGTTGGCCTGTTTCCCCTGAAAGAGAGGGAAATATTGGCTGCGATTCCCCCGGCTGCCTTCAGCACCTCCCTTCATGAATTTGGTCTGTGATTTACTGGTCATCGGCGCTGAGCTTTCTCACGAACTATGCAAGCTACGCGGCATGGTGGCTTCGATTGGCAGTGTGAAATTGGGCCAAGTGGGCGGGGATGTGCATTAAGATAGCTAGCTTCATACTCCCCGGGGCTCCAGCAGACATCCGGCTGCCTTGTGCGGCACTAATTTTGAGATGATTGGAAGCTGTGTGAAACCTGATGAGAAGCCAATATATAGTGTAAGTGACAGGATGGAATTTGTGCTGCATTTTACTGAACAGGAGCGACCACAGCAGGAACTGCCCGATCTGCCGCTTGCAAGTGACCGCCGCCAACGAGTCATGGGTCATGTCTGACGCCCCCACGGAGGAGGATATAGCGGGTTATATCCTCAACTTGGCAGATGAAGCTGGAATTCCACACAGACCTTAAATAAACAGAAACCTAATTGCTTATATTCATACTCCATTGTTTTAAGACATTATAAATTTGAGTTTTCATTCAGTTCAGCACTGCCTCGTCTACCACTGTAATTGCTATTCAAATGTGAATTGGACAGTAGTCTCATTATGAGGGAACTATGTTTTGTGTGTGTGTGTGTGTGTGTGTGTGTGTGTGTGTTTTTAACTTTTTTTATGAAATGCATATAGCAGGTACCACCTTTACAGCTCAGTACACTGAGATATGCACATCCACTGACCCAAGTCTCTGGAGTTTTACTTTTTTTTCTCTCAGTTGGAATGGGGGCGCCAGACGAGATGAGTGTTTGTCCCAGTTGTTTCAGTGCGATTGAGGAGGGTTTGGATTCTGCTGTATTTTCGGCAGTAAACGAGAGCTTAAATGCCCCCCTGCAGGCCCAGTGGCTACCGAGACCCAGAAGCATATGGGGTGGTTCTCCAGAGATTCAGTGTTAAAAGCAATGGGAAGCTGACTTTGAATGGCAGTCTAATAAATAGCTGATTCACTGTCATACACAAAAACAAAAACCTTATGATTTCCATTATTAAACCTGGAGGTTTCTCCCCCAAAACATCCCTAATGCAGTTATAAGTAGGCTTTGATCAATGCGACTCGAAGCTGTATGGGGAATAATGGAAATTCATATTTACATTTATGAAAGAAGTCATGATTTGTGTGCATGCTGCAGAAAATACTTACTGGTATTAATGTTGAAACTTATTTGTAGATACCTTAATTCTTAAAATTGGTTGCTTCATATTTCAGAATTTTAATTATTACTATTAGGGCAACATTACTCTTGCATATTGTTGTGTAATTTGCCAGAAATGTCAGTAGCTGTTTTGTTTTATAACGGTAAGTTTACCTAAGCTCTAAATGTAAATATGAAAAGGACATTATTCAAGATTGGGGGGGGGGGTAGACTGTGAAATTCAAAATGTGAAAATACGCGCTTCTATTACAACTTTCAGATTTTGGCTTTAAACTAAAAGGGAATTTTTGATTAAATATTGTGGGAAATGTATTTCTTTTTATAAGATGCACACTTATTTCAAAGGACTCATTGAAAACTACCAAAACCACTTATATATTTATATAAAACACTATGTATGAATGTGAGTTTCCTTTTTAATTGCACTCTGGAAATGCGTAGAGCCATCTTTAATGAGAAAGCATGCTTTTTGCCGATGTATGTTTTTTATCTTTATTAAAAGGAACATGTTTAACTCTAGGTGGCTCCTTTGTCAGCTTTGTAACCTGTTAATTAGCAGGATGGCTTTGCTACAATCTTAATATGTAATTTTTGAAATATCTGTGTTTCACCGATGGAAAACACTCAGCCCAGTGTCTCTGTAGAAAAATAAAGTACACTTTATAATTTAGCAATATGCTATTTTTTAATTCCTAGATATAGGTACACTTGCATTTGCAAATATTTGAATCTGCATTTTCTTTAGATCATACAAAAGTCAAATACTTTTCTGAGTACATGATAAAATGTTCAAACCCATCTTCACAGTATTTGTCTTGTGTATAAATATAACAGATGTTTAATTTATCTATGTGCAAACAGCATTTACAAATCTGTTTTCCTGCTGTTTCTGTTCATCCCATTTCATACTTAAAAGAACTTCAGTTTTAAAATGTCTTTTCTACCTAAAGCGACACTAAAACTACTTGCTTGACAAACTCAATGAAGTTTAGTTGGCATAAAGTTATGAACAATGGGAAGTGTGTCACGAGGTGGTTTCTAACCCTGTTACATCTCACAATAAATAAAAGTATTTACATTGCTACACCCATTGGCAGCAACACTTACGAATGTGTCCATATATAAAAATGCATAAGAATGCCAAATAATGAGATCAGTGTAGTTAAAATGCAGCTTGTAGCACAAGGAAAGGCTAAATGCTGTGCTCAGGAACAATCTCTTTACCTCAGCCAGCAATGACGAGAAGCAGTGCAGTCCAGTGTATGTACAGAGCTGTTCAAAATTTTGGGGTCACTTAGAAATTTCCTTACTTTTGAAAAAAATCACATTTTTCGGCCATTAAAATAACATCAGATTGATCAGAAATACTGTGTAAATATTGTTAATGTTGTAAATGACTATCATAGCTGGAAATGGCTGTTTTTTAATGGAATATCTACAGGGGCTCATTATCAGCAACAATTAGTCCAGTGTTCCAGTGGAATGTTGTGTTTGCTATGCAAGTTCATCATTTTTAATGGTTAATTGATGATTAGAAAACCCTTCTACCACATATGAAAATTGTTGTGCTGATTAAAGAAGCAAACAAACTGGCTTTCTTTGGACTAGTTGAGTATCATCAGCAATTGTGGGTTTGATTACAAGCTCAAAATGGTCAGAAACAAAGAACTTTCTTCTGAAACTCATCAGTCTATTGTTCTGGGAAACGAAGGCTATTCCAAGCCAGGAAATTGAAGATCTCGTACAATGCTGTGTACTGCTCCCTTCAGAGAGAAGCGCAAACCGGCTATTACTACAATAGGAAGAGGAGAGAGAGGCCCTGGTGCACATCTGAAGGAGAGGATAAATATATTAGAGTGTGTAGCTTGAGAAACAGACGCCTCATAGGCAACTGGCAGCTTCATTAGATAGTATCCGCAAAAGACCAGTCTCATCATCAACAGTGAAGAGGCAACTCCGGCATGCTGGCCTTCTAGGCAGAATTGCAAAGAAAAAGCCGCAGAATCTCAGAATGGGCAATAAAAAAAGACTGCGATGGCCAAATGCACACGGACAGTGGACTGAAGAAGATTGGGAAAAAAGTGCTATAAATATAGATGAATCTAAGTTTGAGGTGTCCGGATCACAAAGAAGAATGTTTGTAAGATGCAGATCAAATGAAAAGACGCTGGAGGAGTGCTTAACGACGTCTGTCAAGCATGGAGGAGGCAATGTGATGGTCTGGGGCTGCTTTGTACAGGGTGTAAGGGATCTTGGAGAAGGAAGGCTGCAACATCATGCCATACCCTGTGGATGGTGCTTAATTTCATCCTACAACAGGACAATGACCCAAACACAGCTCCAAACTTTGTAAGTTCCCTAACTATTTAGGGAAGAGGCATTCGGCTGATATTCTGTGTATAATGGAGTGGCCAGCAGTCACCAGATCTCAATTCAACTGATCTGTTATTGGAGCAGCTTGACCGAATGGTACGTAAGAAGTGCCCATTCAACCATTCCAACTTGTGGGAGATGCTTCAGGAAGCATGGGGTGAAATCTCGTCAGATTACCTCAACAAACTGCCCAAAGTGTACAAGGCAGTAATTGCAGCAAATGGAGGACTCTAACGAAAGCAAAATTTGAAGAACACAATTATTTTAACTTAAAAGTTATTATTTCTAACTTTGTCAATGACTATTTTCTATTTATTCAGCAGTATTTCCTGTTCAAACTCACATCACGTATGTTTTCATGGAAAACAAGGAAATTTCTAAGTAATCCCAAATTTGTGAGCTGTAGTATAGAGTGTCAATGCAAATGCAGGTGGCCATTTATTGATCAGATGTTGCCACAGTGTGCCGTTTAATGCATCTAATGAATGTAGCGATCCATTCACAGAGAAGCTCATGTAGCAGAATAAAGAAAGGCAATGTTTAGCAAGCATTATAAAATCTGTAAGGAGGAAATGCACAGTGCTGCACCTTTTTCCTCAGAAGTAAAATTCCTCTTCAGAGTGGTTTTAAACTGGAGACCTACAGCACAGTATTATCATACTCTCTCCTGTAGGACTACAGTAGGCTGGCCTGTGCAGTTGGCTTGTCGCCCTGGTGAGGTATTTCCTCACACAGTCAAAGTGAGAGTTTCAGTCTGCTTGCACTGATGATTAACTGGATAAAGCCCACATCCCCTTTTTAAGGATGATATTGTACAAAAATGGATAAAATGTTTAATCAAAGAGTTGAAAATAAATGACCATCATGATGCCTTATATGTACAATATACAGTGTGCATGCATTTGTGCATTTAGTTGCATTTCTAATGTTCAAGCAGAGGCTGCATTTCTGTCTATTTGGCTTAGCACGGCAATCAAAGCGGATGTGAGCAACTACTGAATAATCTGGCCTCATCACACAAGGCAGCAGTCTGCTTGTGACAAGCTGTAGTTACTGTGACTGTGCGACAATCGCCGCCGATTTGACGGCATCTACCAGGAAGCTGAGCTCATTGCACAGGGTCTCGTGCCTGTAGGCCATGCGGATTTGTGCCACGTTGGTCCGCCGGATATCGTTCCCCTCTGGCCCGTTCTTCAGGTAGTTCACTCCCAGGAAGTGCTTCTTCTCCTGCCAAGAGGGTCACGGACATATCATTTTAGATCAGGCCTTATAACACCATGCTTGATCACATCCACAGGTAGGCGTCCTCTGGGCCATGGCAGTGTGTGGCTGACCTTATCTCTAGGGGAATATACAAAAACACAACTCATGTGGGCAACACTGAGGTGTAGCTCCTGTCTCGAATGACAGGGCCTGAGGTTGAGCGATGAGTCTGCAATTTAGTCCATGCTGTGATTAGCTTGCAGTCACACTAGTAACATGATCCAAATGCAGATGGGGCAATGAGACATACTGCCCCCCTGCCCACCCACCTGGTGCGAGAGGCCGCTCTGCAGCACGCTGTTCCTGGCGATCTCGCAGACGTCACATGTGCTGAGCTTCCACAGTTGCGCTGCTATGGCATATTCCTCCATCAGCGCCTCCTGCAAGGTGCCAGTGCACAGTCACACCCCGTCTCCACGCCACACGACTTTAACACAAACCCTCACACCCCGTCTCCACGCCACGCGACTTTAACACAAACCCTCACACCCCGTCTCCACGCCACGCGACTTTAACACANACGCCACGCGACTTTAACACAAACCCTCACACCCCGTCTCCACGCCACGCGACTTTAACACAAACCCTCACACCCCGTCTCCACGCCACGCGACTGAAATAAAGCACAACTGTGTATATGTGCTACATTTTTACTGAATTAAGCACAGTGAATGCGAGGCTGAGACTGAAGCGTTACCCTTTGTTTCCGCTGAGAGACGTGCCGCGTGACTCATTTCCCCACGCCTACAAGTTATCTTAGGTCAGCGTTCACGGTTTGACTTCTGAGATTCAGATCGAGTTCTAGGTAATTATTTTTTCGAATTGGTTGGTTCAACTTTTAAGAAATTGGAGTTCTAATGAGTTTGAGAACTGAGGTACCACTGTACTAATAAATTGAAACCCAAATTATAGTTCTAAATGAGCTGTTCTGGGTTTAGAACCTCATTGTCTTATTAAGTAACATCTTTGCAATAACATAAAACACCAAACATTTGTGTTTAGTTTCCCTTTTGGAGCCAATAACTACTATAATATAGAACAGAACTGAATGAGTCAACCAAAAAAATATGACACATAAAAAATGTCTGTGCAGAAGGTATGTGAGGATGTTAAACGTTGCTTATCAATGGACTTTCGTTACGAAACCAATAAATCTGCAATATTTTTACTGAATTAAGCAAGCGTCCCAAGACTTTCTGTGAGCAGTGTTACACTGTATATGTACTGTTGAGACTTTGGGGTTCACATACAGTAGCATTGTCCTGGTCTTCCTGTCTTCCACCATCTGACAGTCTCTCACCTTGGTGTAGTGGAACTGCATGGGGTCATCAGTAGACAGGGACACGCACAGCCCCTTGTGCAGGAACTCCCTCAGCGGGTTCTTGGAGTACTCCAGGAAAAGGCTGTTGTTGCTGAGCGGGGACATGGCAATAGGCACCTGGGCCAGGTAGTACAGATACTGCAGCACGGGGCTCTGGAGGCAGAGGGACACGCCAAACACTGTCAGTTTTACGAGCCTCCTGACCCCCACCACATGAGTGATGACGTCAGTAGTTCTGTCTGCTGTCAATATAACACCTATGAGAGGTACTTGTTTGTTTGTCCTACCAGTAATGCGTTTAGTACCTCTGAAGCTAGGATACTATTCTTAGGACATTGCAAAATTCCCAGCTTAAATAGCTGTCTGCAGAGCAATTTGAGACAGCAGAGCTGTTTGGAGAAGAGGCACGAAAAGAAGACATCAGCTGTAGGCATCAGCTCTGTGAGGCAGCAGCCCACCTTCTTCAGGTTGAGGCCGTGGGATATGTTATCAGAGGTCAGGAAGGCCGAGACCAGGTGAGTGATGGAGCCGGCCTCACCGCAGTGCGGACGGAACTGGAAGGTGTTGAGGCCTCGCTCCCTACAAGGTATCCAGAGAATGAGAACTTTAACATAATGAACAACTTCATCACATAATTAAGAGCAAGGACGTTTTACATGGTGAAGCCTTTATGGTGAATTGAAGAATTATGTACTTCCTGCTTAGCCTATGATTTGAGGAAACAATGGAGCCAACAGATTTGCTGCACTTTATTGAGAGAACAGTTACTGTAAACAAGTTTATGAGTTCTGAGGCTATAGGACTAGAATCCTGACACATTCAAGACTATTAAAAACCCATTTATAAATAGTATTAATGCATTTAAATTTAATGCGACAGGTTTTAAAAAAAAAAAGAAGATAACCTACATGTTTTCTATTAGGCACAGATCCCCTGAGCTCGGCTGGAAAGAGGTCATCAAACAAACACTTACTTCCGGAGGTTGTTGAGCACCATGATGTTGGCGTACATGTAGAAGAGGTAGTAACTATAAGGTGGGTTGCTGTCTGTGGTCCACTCTTCGGGTTTGGGGCTTTTGTAGGAGAACATGTGGTCACTGTGCTTGGACTCGTCATCTACACTGTCAAAACCTGTCACCTGTGCAAGGATGAGTCAGTCCTCAGAAGGAAAGGGCTCAGAAGACTGGCAGGGAGGGTTCATACAAAAAGCTAATCTTCTCTGGTTAACCCCTCTGAATGTTTACCATATAACATGCAGCAAAAATGCTACTGAGAAGAGCGTCACTTTATCAACTGTCCATTTAACCAGTTCTGAGCCAGAATGGTTATTTCATACCCTTCGTATCTATGAAATCAGGAAGCAGGGTTGAGTGACTTATACTCACATATTTCAAGAAGACATGCAGCTCTTTGTGCTTTTGAGGGTTAATGGTGGCTTCAAAAAGAGGGAGGAAGACATTTTCCAGCATCTTTGCAAAGTTAGATATTAACTTTCGGGACTTGAAAATATCACTGAAAGAGAAAACATTGGTTTTCAGGTGATTATTCCCAAGTATTGAATGGTAACCAATGGAAAGCCAGTTCATGTTCCAGCTGAATAAATGGCAGCTTTGTTCACTATTGACTTACCTCCTAAGTAATTATTCATAAATCTCAGTGATACAGACTAACTTGAAATAAAATATATGTAATAATTGGTATGCTACAATGTTAAATAACTGCTGATTCTTTCATGAAACAGAAAACAGCATAAAGATATACATAATATACATATCTCACATAACACAATATTAATATTAATAAGAGACAAACCAACTGTGTGTAAAGAAATGACAGATGTGTGAGACGAAATGTGAAACTAGCTGCGGTATTAAATGATGAATATGAAAAAAATATATTTAATAAATCAACAATATAGCAAGGGGGAAAGAGGATATCAAAGCTTCAGGTTGGATCAGAATTCAAGGGTGCGAATCAGCGTCAGATAACTTTTGAGCCAAGTTAAGCATAAGTCTACCAAAGGTGTCCCTTCAATTAACTTGTAAATTCTTTCTAGAATAACTGCTGCTAAATGTTTACATAATATTCTGATCATCACCTCAGGCTGTTCCAGGTCAATGACAAAATAAAAAGTTGGCAGTAGGTCGCCTATTACTTAAGAACGCGTAACCCAAATGTGGCGGTTTGTAGGTGCCACAATGCCCTTCAGCAAAGTATTTCACTTGAATTGCTCTAGTGAAATATGCTGTGTAAATGTATAAAATTGTAAGTGCTTTCCATAATGGCATGAAATAATTAATGGAGTATAAATAATCTCAGAGAGTGGACCAGAATGTATAGTTATTCGGGTGCTGCAGCACTTACTAAATCCTGGGCACCTGGATAACCCACTTCATGCTGGGTGAATGCACCCGGTGCTGAATGAACCACTTGGACAGGTTCTCCCACTCCTCCGGGGCCCGGCCGTAGATGGAAAGCCGTGGTTCTGCGTACTGGTATTTACTCTCCTGCAAGTCGTGAGCCACTTCCTACCAAAGACAGGGTCAGGAAGCACTGAGCAAATTCTTACCTCCAGCACGTTCATTCTGTGGGTAACACAATTTTATGATAACATCCATAAAGCTAGTTGTTTGGTTTAGAGTATCTGCAAACATGCAATATCGGAAGAGCAAGTTATAAACAACATGGCTAATTTGATGTATATGCCAGGATATTTAGTTTAGTGACTTTTGCATCTTCTTCATCCCATTAAAACCCCTGACAGATGATGCACGTCACATACAGTGCTCAGAGAAAGTCTTGGCACGCTTGCTTAATTCTGTAAAAATGTTTCAAATTTATTGGTTTCATAACAACGCACTGTTGACAAGCAACGCTTATCATATCTACACATATCTTCCACACAGACATTTTCTTCTTATTAAGTGTCATTTTTTTGACTGACTCAATTCTGTTCTTGCCATTCGGCTATAAGTGGCTATTATAGTTATTGTCTCCCAGAGGGATACTAAACATAAATGTTTGGTGTTTTATGTTATTGGAAAGGTGTTGCTATTTAAAAAGCACCTGATGACACTGCTTGTCAATGAACTTTTTAACTCAGAACAGCTTTTTTAGAACTATAATTTGGGTTTCAATTTATTGCTACACGAAATAAAAGTTATACTTAAAACTACAGTTTTTTCTAATGTGGTGTATGTTTTTGTAAACAAATAAATAAACTAAAGATTTTGATTATACAATGAATAAACTTGCAATATTTTTACTGAATTAAACTACTAATCCTTTCTTACCTTAATAAGACGTGCAAAGTACTCCCCTTGGATGTGATTGTCAGTTTTCAAGTAGATCTCTCTGAGTTCACTGGCCCCCACTGGGTTATATTTGGAATTGAACTTATCAAACCGATGAAATGTCTGTCTGCCCTAAAAAGTGAGAGAAAAACTGAGCTGCAGATACCTCTAATGCAAATGATTACAGGCGTCCTTGAAAATATTTAATGGAATGCCATTATTATGGCAAGGTAACAAAGGTTACTTTAGTTAACCTAAACGTGTCATTCAACACATTCCACACAATACTTGATATGCTTACAGCATGCACATCCAAGGAGTCCACAGTGAGATCATAAGGGTCCATGTTCAGATTATCAAAGACCTCCTTGAGGGTCATCTTCTTCCCCCCCTTTTGCTGTACCACTCGGTCTGCCTCCATCTTGTAGGTATTCTGGATGAACTGCAGCAGATGCTTCTGGTTCATGCAGGCTGCTGCATGGATGTGTGTGTCAACCTGAGTAGCCAAGAGACAGCAGGAGTTCAACTCAGACATACTGGAAATGTGGAAAAACACACGAAAAAGAGAATCATGCTAATAAATCATGCTGAATACTGCATTATACTTTTATCCAATTTTTTGCTAATATGTGAACTGTGAACTCCAAGCAGCCTCTGAATATATTGATTTGTTGCTCAAATGGTTCCATTGATCAAAGTCAAGGCAAAGTATCTTTACTGTTATCTCAGCTCTGTGATGCATGGGGCACTGAAATTAAATTAAATATCATTCCTCACTGGTCACAGTGCAAAAAAAAAGCAATAAGTAGAACATAAATATGTATGCCATACAGTGGGCTTCGGAATAATTGGCAGCCCTGACTGGAAATGCACTAAATATTACTGTAAAAAATAAATGATAACATTATAAATTGGAAATGCCATGATGCAAAAAATATCATAATTTATTAATGTTCCATTGACTCAATCAAAATGATTTATTAATTTAATCAAATTAAAGGATTCATAATTAATGGCACCTCTAAATAAAATCTACAAAATTTGAACCAGGAATGAAATTCAATAAAGTGTCTCTTCAGAGAATCCTTGGGTACTGCTGGTTTGACTTTGTGTTGAATGAGCAGTTGCTAGAGGAGTCCCGAATGAGGCACATTACCTGCATTGTGAGGGAGTGTCAGTTACAGCACTGCAGCCATGTGGCGCGTTTCCCTGAGGGTGATCTGGCTCGCAGGATCCTCATTGCTGAGGACCCATGTGGCTGGACCAGGCCAAGGGGACGCCCAAATAACACCTGGCTGCAGCAGATAAACAGCTATTTCTGGAGGGTGGGACTGGACCACGTGTCTGCCTGGGGGGTTACCATGCGGGATCCTGAGGTGTCTAGTCATGGTGTGGGTGCGGCAACGCGCTGTAGCAGTGCATGCTCAGCAACCTGACCTGACCTGACCTTTATTTATCGCATCACTTCCTGTTCCACTAAGGTATAACAATGAGGTAGCATGCAGGCAAAATCCATTTATCATCCAGCACCAAAAGAAAACAGCATCTTCGTCCAGTGACCTTTGAAAAACTGCAGGTGCTTGTTTCTGTGTCTTGGGGTCAGAAAACACTCTCTTCTTACATTCCTTGCAAAGAGTCAGCAGTAATGGAGGTGGTATCTGGTGGTGCTTTTTGAAAGCCCATGGTGACCCCAAGATGACCTACTGCCATTTTTTGGTGGTCAGATGGATGTTTTGGTCAGATCAGTATCGGCTTGTTTGATATAAAAAACGGAGATGCATCGAAGGAAAGGTAGCTCATAGCCACTGTAATATATGGTGGTAGATCACTGATGTTTTGGGGTTGTTTTACATCTAGAGGTCCAGGGGCACCAGGTTAAGACCAGTGACTTAATGGATTCCACCCCGTATCAGGCGATTTTGGCTGACGATTTGGTTCCCTCTGCCAAAAAGCTCACAAAGCTGAAGCTGGATGTTCCAGCAATACAGTGACCCAAAGCCCTTTAAAATCCATGCAGAAATGGACATGGGACAACGAAACTGAAGAGGGCAGTTGACAACCACAAACCCAATAATCTGACTGATCTTGAAAGGAGCTGCATAGACGAATGGTCCGAAATTCCTCCCAATGTGTGCCTTACCTTTGTCACACAGTACAGAAAAAGACTCCATGTTGTTATCTTTGCCAGAAGTGGTTGCACCAAGTACTAAACCAGGGGTGCCAATAATTAAGAAACAGTTTTTGGTGAATTTGTTTATTTATTAAATAAATGTATAATTTTGGTTGGTTTCATTGGACCAGTTATAAACTGCAATATTTTCCACATCTCGCCATTTATCCTGCCATTTATTAACATTATCTTAATGTTCTTTTGTTGTAGTGTTTTTAGTACATCTCTAGTCAGAGGTGCCCACTGTATACAGACATAAGACAGTAAAATCGAGACACGGACAAAAGACAAATGTATGTTTTGATATAAATTTTTGATGTGAATTTCTGAATTAATATCGGAGTGGATTAGAGGCACAGGTGCCTACCTTCCTGACATTATAGAAGTCTCGGTGAGGGACCCCCTTCAGCTCTTTGAGCTCCGCCATCTCATTCAGCATCTCATGCAAGTAGAACTTGGATGCCAGGAAGTTAAGGCGTCTGTGGCAGTATGTCTTCCTGCAATGATAAGTGTAATTTATGGTAGTTTGCACTTCCACAACAAGAAATTACTAAAACCAGCTTAGTTTCGGTTAGTTAGTTTGATGTTATGTTATGTTCCCAATCAGAACTCTTGACTGGTAAACAATAATCACAGGCACCCATCCCATGTCATTCCATGTATTTCTTCTGTTTCATCCAGTTAATCCAGTTAAACTAATTAAGTAATTATAATTACCTCATAATTAGTTGAATCCAGTGTACTGGGTGAAATATTTAAAAGCTCATGGAATGTTTGGGGGTCTGTAGGATGGGGTTTGGGAAACACTAAACTAACGGAAGTTCTACAGGCCAAGAATAAATAAACCACAGGAAGGGAATGCTATGTGATGTGTAGCTGTGGTTAACGTAGATGTACTATATGTCAGTGTTTACCAATCCGGTCCTAGAGGACCAGCAAGTCCATGTTTTTGCTTATACTGGGAGCTGAGAGTGAGCAATAATGTGGACTGTCTGGCAGGGAGCTGGGAGGGAGCAAAGCAAGGATCGGACTGGGAAACACTGCTATAAGTCAATAAGTGAAATATAATGTGTCTCATAGAGGGGGTGGGTATGGGGGATGCCCTCACGTGGGTCCATCAGCGATCATGGCCAGGACATGGCTGAGGTCAATGGCGAAGGTCTCCAGGTCAGGATAGGGGAGGCTGTGGGCCCGCTGCAACTTCAGGGTCTCAGCACTGTCGTAAACATTGATGATGCCATCTTTCATCTTCAGCTCGTAATTTAAATTCTCTGGGATGTCCACCATGCTGTACGGGTCCTCCCCCTCCTCAGGGCAAGGGCAGATGTCTACATCAACATCATAGTCAATCAATAAAAAAATCACTTTTTTGTGTATTATAGTAGAATTCATTATTAGTGACAGTGAAGTCCACACATGAGCTCGCTCAAGAGCTGCACTCTAAAGTAACGTTTACCTGCTCATTCTTACCATTCACTGAACTGAGCTATGAATCACTGGGAGATGGTATTCAAATGGTGCAATACTATTAAACTCAGATACAACTGATTTATTCCAGATTTAAGGGGAATTAAATTTTACTGAGGATGAGGGAATGGGGTGGGAGTTAAAAGTTCATACTTATTAACACTCAGATGTGGAACCAAAGTTATGTGCCAAGACTACTGATTCCTAACTAATCGTTTTCAAAAACATTTGTGCCAAATATATAATTTTATGGGTTTCCTGTAATTTTCTGGAGTCCGTTTGCCATCATCCAGCATCTCAGCATTTTCCAGCTGAAGACCAGTCAAATCTACGCAGCTACTCTACCTGGTAGGACTTCATCTTCTTCTCTCCACTTCTCATTTTCAGCACTTCGGAGGAACTGAGTGGTGGTCCTGGGAAACTGGTGATAGGCAAGCTTTGCGTATTTCTCCCGAATGAATAGGGCCTTCAGCAAGCTCTTGGCTGCCTGCTCGTAGTCCTCAACCGTGATCTAGGGACAGAAAGGCTGTTACCTAAGAAACATTTTTATAATCCATTCTAGAGACAAAAAGGAGTTCCTCCCTCTACATGTTGCCTTATTCAACATCTCATGTAAGTAAATTAAGTTCTTCTTATTTTCTGAATCCTTCACAAGGGAGCCTAATTCTCCCAACTCCTAATGCTGTCCTGTAGCTAAATGGCCTTGCTTTGGATGACAGGTGATGACTGACAGCTGTTCATTCCAGCAAAGGCTACAATGTTGAAAACCATCAAAATAACAGATAGCTGCACATTTATGGTGTCTTACGCCAGCACAGTAATCGCCACTGATGGTAACCCTCTGGAATTCTGGGATGTTGTCAGGAAGAGAAGGGCACGTCGAGGCAGGAGAAAGCAGAGGAGATACCATGGAAAAGGTCCAGTCTGTACTGACTGGGATCTGAAGGGACATTGACTGTGACCGGATCAACTTGAAACTCTTCTTCCTGGGAACATGATGAAATCCCAGGTAAACCTTAACCTTGCTAAACAATTCGATTTGTGCTAGTCAAACCAATAGATAGCCTGGTCTGTACTTCAGGTCTTCCTGTACAACATTCGTAAATATTTTTTTGTGTACCACTTGTGTTTAAGAGGAATGTAACCTAGCCTGAAGGCTCTTCTCACATGTTTAAGACTTTAGGTTGGATTCTTGGTGAAAGACTGAGTGTGTATGTGCCCTGGACTTGAATGCCCAGCTGCAGAGGATGCACCAGTTCTCTTCCCCTGTGATTCCTGGGATTGCTGTGATAAGCAGTTATGTAAAATGAATGGATAGATGATCTTCCTGACCCTAATTGCTCTTCACTAATAGAATAAAGAGCATCTCTGGTAGTGATGCATATTTTAAGTCTCCCTTGAAGCCTTTTTCAGATGGTCATGCTTTGGCTGTAGCAGACATCGGGCAGCAGAAAGCCCACCTTTTGGCGCTCTCTTCTGATTGCTGCTCAGCAATTTCCTTCAACAGCTCGTAGTCCTTGGCTTGCTGTAGGCCGATGGGGCAGTCTTCAGGGACTGAGAACATGGACAGGGCATCCTTGGTGTCCTCCTCCTTCAGCGCTGAGGCATACACCTTCTCGGCTAAGAGCCGTACCTCCTCATCTACCTCACTCAGAGAAATCTTGGGGAATTGCCGCGGCATGTCTGCAGAAATATGACACAGGAACTTCACTGACAACTGAAACATAGTTATGCGTCTTACATGAGCACAAGCATAAGACAGAGGCACTTGGAATGAAACCACTTTCCTTAGTAATGAGATCTTATTCATTACCAATACATTCTTAGAACATAATATGATATTTAGAACTAAGATTAATAATAACCATACAGAACAGTGAAGCAGTGTGTGAATATCAAGCATTACATAACCAAATATAACTAAAAATTTCATAAATTATACTGCATGTAGATGTAGTATGAGCATGGAGTAGAAAATACTAGAGTTACATCCAGACAGGAAGTAAGCCCTATCATCGAACAACAAGCAAAAGCCCAGAATATGACACTTTTGTTCTCATTCACCTTGACACACACAACGACAACAGTATAGATATTTCTGAACACAGGGCTGGTCAATCCTATGGGTGACATGCCAGCCCATTTTACTTTGCTGTGACGGGGGGCACCGGCAGTGATGCTCTCCCGGGGGGCCACATAGGCTTGGACTGGTGCTGTCTGAACATATCCAATTCAAGGACACCTTTCCATCTGCATCTTTGCCTCACGTTTCCAAGCCGCAGCGGCATTTCAGCTAGCATACCTTGTTATTTATACCAACCCGGAAACACACCAGCTTTACAGCTCTTCATTGAACATGTTTTTATGAAGTTACACATGAAAATCACATACAGCTCTTACTGTTAAGATAGACGGTGGCTTCACAACTCCAGGCATTTGGAGTCAATTTAATTTGTGAGCAGTTTGCATGTTCTCGTGTTTGTACAAGTGTGGGTTTCATTCAGGTACTCTGGTTTCAACAGTTTAAATATAACAAACAGAAAATACCTAATTCAATGCTGTTATTAACATTACAGAAATTATACTTCTTGATGAAAAAACACTGCGCATACTACACTGAAACAAATTCCTGAAATGAATTTACTTAGGTTTCGTTTTCACAATTTCCTTAACCAGCTGACTCACTGCTTTTCTGTATATGTTCCTGGTTTAATTACATGATAGTAGCAAAACAGGCAGATGCAGGAGATTCATCATAGAATTAAAACACCTGTTTTCTTCTTCGCTTGAGTGGGATAGTAATCATTGGCGACAGGCATGGAAACCAAGTCACAAAAGATAAAATGTGGGTTCACTGGTGACCATTTTAGGCATCATCTGGAGCCCTGTCTAAAGATATTCTTTGCACTAATTCGAGTTTCCAAATTGCTTTTAGTGACTGATTGCAAGTATGTATGTGCACTGTACTAGACTGACGTCCCATAAAGAGTGTGCCTTGTACTTCCTGTGATAGGTGATAGATTCACCCTGACTATGCACCAGATAAGCATTTCTCTCAGTTGGATGGTTCGATATAAACGTCACCTATAATTTTAGACCCATCTCCATTAATAAGCATTACTGCAAGGGAAGGAAACACGTTATTCTAGTAACAGTAAATACAGACGTAGGTCAAAAGCAATAACAGCATGTCCATTTTGCAATCCTGTTTCTTAAATTACCATCATAAGCATGTTCTCAAGTGATTGTTGCCTCATCTAACGCTGTGAAACTCCAGCAATCACAACATCATCATGTTACATTCTGCACTGGATTAGCAAAGCCATATAACTCATACAGTTAAAGTTGCTCCTCGGTCTGCAGTGACGGGGACTTATTGCCCTGCTCTATAACTGTAGCATGGGCATCCATGCTACAGATGCTAAATTATAACTGGAGTGAACATTTGTAAATCACTGGATCCAAAAGAGGAAGAGGATGAGAAGCATATTCAACATATTCAAAGTCCCACATACATTTTTTGCAGTAATGTTTCAAAAGGCAAGGGAAAATAACTGCACCTAAACACCTTTATCGTATCACTATGTAGACCACTGAGATGATGGCGTGAGGTCTGTGGCAAAACACAATCACCTTTGCAGAATACAGGACAGGGGTCCTCTGGGCTTTCTTCTGGATGCATCAGTGACTCCATTGCACAGCATTATGACTGTGCTCGTGCTTCTCATTATTTTTCTGAAGACCTTGATGCCACATGCTGTTGTTGAGTGCTTGGGGGGAAAACTGTCAGAAGTTTTAAAAGTCTTTAGTTCAGTCATAATCTTTCGACTGAAGTTCGTTCACAGCACTTCCAGTAGAGTCCCACATTCAAAACCCTCTCTTTCTAATATCGGGAAATATATACTAGCTAAAGGACACCAGTAGGAAATGCAATGTTTCAAGAAGAGTGGGACTTAATCCAAAACAAGGGATACCTACAGTTTATGCTTTGTTGTTCTCACAATGCAGTGGCTGTAGTTACTAAGGGAAAGTTGCATATGACTTCCTACTGTCTGTAGAGTAGGTCACTGTGGTAGTTTGCATCATGTTGCTGCAGCTGTGTGCAAGTTGTCCTGTAAACTGCGTCTGAGTGGTGAGATCGAGTGTCCCAGTGGCCGCCAGCACTATATTGACTTTCCCTGTTGACATGGAATCTGAGCCTCTCCAGCGCTCTCAGCCATCTTTGCATCATCAGACAGAAGCCCTGCCCTTTCTGAGAATATCATGGTTGTTCTAGAAGGACCACGATCCTGACAGGACCCCTCAACACATGACCGCACGCGTCTATGCTGCCGTACGCGCTCCATATCCGTTCCTCCTTGGCTACAGTGGATGAATGGTTAAGCTTATAAAGGCACTTAAAAGAGAAGTGCCCGCTTTTTCTTTTTGAAATGGGGCCCGGTTTCATAAATCGGTATTGATTCAGTAATGGGTTCGCATAAATGATTTAGCCGTACCTCCTTAGCAGACCCTGCTACACGTCTCACTCACAGCACTCATTCAGCCACATTGAACCGCTGACTCATCCCCTGTATCGCCATATTTAAGTGAAAACAGGCAAACTACTGGTTGCCTGAATTTCAAAGGAAGACCACCACAGTGTCTCTCAAGAACTTACACTTCATCACGCTTTTCCGTGGCCAGGGAACAGATCCAGTCCCTCCAGTTCCCCTTCTCTTGACACTTATTTTCCTCAGCATGCTGGATACTCACATCCCATGCATAAACCCCAGCTGGTCACTTTGCTCAGGACCCAGCAGTAGCAGCTGTAAAAAGGCAGTCCCCCCCCTTACCTTCAGAACTGGTCAACGCCATGCCTGGCCTGTGCAGTTCTCTCTAGCCCGATGTGAGTCTCTGTCCAGGGTGTACCTTTAGGGGGGTGACTCCTGATCGCTCCTCTGAAACTATGAGGCTCCTGCCACGGTTGGATGCGTTTTTACTTCCTTGAGTGTCCCTCCGTCTCTATTTTAAGAAGCCAACGGCAGTGCGTCGACAGGGCCACTAATCCATGAGGTATGCAACAATTGGCTGTCGATACAGCCAGCGGGAGCCCCCGTGTCACCCCCAGTCACTGCCAGAGGAGCGCCCAGTGCTGAACACCAAATGGCAAGCAGCTGCAATGCCACTGGCAGAGCCCCGGAGCTGCCCTCTGTGAGCGGGCTCTGTTTTCTCCGAGCCGGATCATGTGGCCACCGACAGGCTGAGCCTTCTTCCGTGCTTTCCAGAGCGCTCAATCTCAGCTCTGACCTTGACGTGGCATAATACAGCACCTAATGTTACAGCTCAAAATAAATAATCCTTTGACTAATCCTGGCCCGCCCTGCGGCTGCCCGTCTGTCAACATAAAAGTGGCTATTCTGTAAAACATCTAATTTACCGCTAACTTCACCTCCGTCTGAGTAATGACACTGACAGGGCACATGTACAGCACATGTAACTGTACTCAGCCACCACTGCAAGTGGCAATATGACAATGGCAAAAGCTTGGAGCTGAAATGACAGTTTTCTCCCATTTACTGTACCTGATCAGTCTGGACTTCAGCCGTCTGCAGTGGAGTCGCAGAGGTCGGAGGATCTGCCGGCTCGCTTTCTTGTTTGTTGGTTTTTTTGTTGTTGCGCTCAACATCTAAGCTCTGTTCTGATCCCTGTGCAACAACTGCACCAGCTCCAGATTCCCTTGAAGTAACCCGACTCCGTCTCGGAGCATACCTACCTGTCCATCGGACCGATCTGTGCTCGGGCACAAGTTGCAGGCAGCCTAAAACAATGCCAACAATGTTTACTCAGGCAGTCTGTGGGGGCTATTTTTACCTGCTTTGTTGAGGTCAGCCAATAACATTTTCTGTGATCGACTAATCGCATATGACGACCTACTATGGAAAGCCATACCCCTTCCTGAATCAATGCACTGAAAAGGAAGTTTATATCACCAAAGCTGACTGCCTTCCTGTTATCCGTTTGACATTCATAAAGAATGGCGTAACTCGCCAATTTGCATAAATCACAATTCAATACAAACACATTTTCAATACAGAAAAGGCTACAATGGTACAATATGAGTTTCCTAATGTACTGCTTAGTTCAAGTGATTTCAATTAACCATTTAGTTAATGTTTTTTGGAAACTGTATGTAAAACTCCATTTTTTGTTATTTACTGTCCTGGAGTGGATCATTCATGCTATTTCGAGCCATGCAAATAGTAGTTATAATGTCAGACACCTTCAGAGGACATGGGCTCTAGTGTGTCTGTCAGTCAAAGAGGAAAACTATAATCTAGAAATCAGAACAGTCAGTTCACTGCTTTGAACCTGTGGTGTTAATGTCACATTAATGAAGTTCTCTTTAGCGATGGGCAAAGTAAAGCTCATTATACCTTAAGAGAAAACAGGTTATATGTAATATAAATTGAAACATTTTACTGCCAATTTTAGACACATCATAATAGCCACGCCTTATTCCTTAACAACGTGCAAAAGATGTCAATGATCAATTTCACAGTATAAATTGTCAGGGTATACAAAAACTGAACATCAACGCATTTTAACTACTGCCGAACAAGTGCTTTGGATTATATTTAGGTAAATCCTGTGACATCTGCTTCCTTATGCTAGGTAGTTCCCAGCCCTCGGTCTGGGCCGGAGGGGTTGGTTAATTTCCAAAAATAAACTATACACTTTTTACCGCCCCTCACGTTCTTGCGTGGAAAAGATAGCAAACGGTTAAACTTGTGAATTCTCCGGTCGTACGCTTAGCCACCCCCAGCCCACTGTCACCAGTCGTAAGAGGTCATATCATGTCACCTTTACTGGTGTGATTCAACCGGCTTCTTAAACACCAAACTACATGAAGATGGAAACACATGCAGTTGAAACTAGTAGATGGGTCCATTTTTGCTGTGACTATTATACAACATACTAACTGCAACAAGAAATATTCTTCGTGGAAGAGAAACGTTTTTGTTTTAAAATGGTCTTGCGGGGTATAAGACATTAAAGGTTATCACATAAACACGGGGCAAAGGCGCTTACCTTTTCCTAGGGGGCTGACAGACGGATTTCTAAAGGAAGCAGACTCTCTTCTTTTCATGTCTTTCAGTTGGTTAGGAAATGCCGGAGAAAGGTACAGAAACGTAAGCGTGAGAGTGATAATTAGAACAAAGATAAACAATGTTCAGTATGCATCAGTATGTATCGTTATATAGGTACACTTAATTAACGAAATGATCAACCACATTGACAAAATTGAACACATTCAATTAAAACAATTACCTGATTAGATTGTCAATGTTTGTTTTCCCGAAAATGATCTTACACCCCAGTTACTGCAGCAACTCCAATTCCAATCCGGTTGCAATATTAAAGGTAAACACTTAGGTATTTATCAAGATCTGGAAGGCAGCACTAGCGCAACTAAGTTTTTAAATCCTTTTCAATCATCTTTGTATCAGAATATTCAACATTAAGTGCAGTGTACCTGTAATAAATGCACAAACGCGAGATTATTTTACTCTATATCTATCTATATCGATTAGTAGCGGCAAACTGCAAAATACATCATCAGATTACATCAAGTGTAAAAGAGAACGCAAACGGATAGATCTGAAGCGGCACTCAAACAATAACGAAAGATGCCTTTCGGGAGCTTTTCCTCCCCTCTAGATCTCCTATCTCTCGGTCCCATCCCTCCTTCTGCAGAGATCCCTCTTATTTCTGCTTGTATTGTGGCATAATGTAAATGTTTGTAGAGCTCTCTCAAAGTGAGCGAGATACCACCGTTAACTCCATCGCTGCTGCTAAGGACCAAGAAAACGAACCAGAATCACGAGGGAAATATCAAAATATAATCTCTCACGTATCATTTGTTAATATCTTTAAAGTTGCTAATTTAGTAACACTAACATCTGCATCACTGGAGCACTTAATGACTAAAACTGGCCAGTCCCGTTCTGGTAAATTGTGTGTAATGTTGTCTTTCAGGATGTTGTCTTGTTTTGACGTACAAGTTTTTGAGCTCTGGTTCCGTTGCTAACTGTGGTAGGTTATGTTATGCATATCCTTGAATAAATGTGCAATGTACAGAACAGGGAGAGTATTGGTGCCTTTAAACTTTGGTGTCATTGGTGCAGATAAAAACTAACAAATCGATTCTTGCTCAAGTCAAACCAGACCCTTCACTTTGAAGCATAAATGAACAGATTAAAAGTATTTAATTTGGGGCATATTGTGAGAGTACTCAGTACACTGGATACGTAGCAGGTAGATGGGGATGGCCAGGAATGAGATCGATGGACTCAATCATCAAAACAATGAACGTGCCATTGGGCTGCCTGAGGACGCAGAAGACGGAAGGAAACATATTCTACAGTGATGCTGTCTATGTGATGAACAGGGACCTGATATGTGTGTGACAGCACATAATAGCCACAATGACAACAATAACAACAACATCAGCAACAATATCAACAACAGAAATGATAACAATAATAATAACTGGAAGGGGACATCAAGGCATGGACAGTTTCAAAACTATGTTCAGAAGGCTCATGTTGACAGTCAGGGGTCACTCAGCTGGATGGAACAGCAGGCCGTCACGCTATCACTTGAAGCCAGTATTTTTGCCGTCCAAGATCGGGCAGTGAAAACTAAATTTCACATACAACAATCCCTCAAACAACCATAAGGAGATTTGTTCTGCCTAAGTAGAAAATGTAATGAGACTGTCCATCACATTGTCAATGCTTGTGAAACACTGGCCAATGCATCCTACCTATGATGTCACAACAAATTGGTAAAATGCATCCAGTGGTTTCTAACTAAGGACGACAATTTCCAAGTGCCAAAGCAATGGTGGTGATGGAGTTTAGAGGGACATTAAAATCCTGGAAAATACTATACATCTAAGATTCTCTGGATGTTTCCTGTTCAAACAGATGTTACAATCAATGCCAACCAACCAGACATCATTTATGCCAACCTATCCACCAATGAAACTTTTCTAATAGATATCTCGGTGCCGTCAGCCTATAACATTGGTCAAAAAGAAGAGCATAAATTAAACCAGTACCATCAACTCCAGAACGAGATTAAAAGAGTCTGGAAAACAGAAACCAAAATAGTCCCTCTTGGTGCTTCTGGGGTTAATGCTAATTCCATTTAGTGATGTACTGAAAAGCTCTCGCCCAACATCAACATCTCTATTCTACCAAAACAAGCAGCAATATGCACAGCGTCCCTCGTCCTTGGCACAGTTAGCAGTTATTAATACAAGACATTTTCTTTTTAGCTGACCCTGACCAGCCTCCCCTAACCCTGGCTAGACCTAAATCCTGGAATTTACCCTTACCCAGGACCTTCAGCTATGCCCTTTCTCAAGAGGTCTCTTGGGCAGGCATAGTCTTAATACCTGCTGAAAACCCTCAAAATCCAAAGAACTGGAAATCTTAACATATGACACCTAGAGGAAAATAGCATCTATCGAAAATGCAAATTGCACTAAAAAATAAAATAAAAATAAACCAGTCAGTCAGTATTAAAGTACTGTCCATACACACAGATTTAAGCAATCCACTTCAGGCATTAGCTTTGAGCTATGGAATTAATAAACACATCAGTTATTGAACACAACTAACCAAATAAAATGAGCTATGCCATACTGTATTGCAGTTTAATAACTGCCAGTTACAGTGTCTGCCCAGCAAAGACTGGTTGCTCCGCATGACTACACCACACTAACCGAAAGGGACAAACTTCAAATAAATATTCCTGTACTTCATTTTCCAAAAGTTAACAGATAAGACCGTACGCTCTTTAAAACCTTTCTCAGCAGTGTGTGATTGTCATGGCTCAGTTCAACGCTTTTCAGCTCTTTTAAGCTGACAGAAAATAACTCAGTAATGTTAGAGTGTACGTAGTTTGAGCTGTGACTACTCAGATTTAGATGCTGAATCTGTTACACCTAATAGGTCGTGTTGTTTGCTCCACATCAGCAAAAATGACTTTGTTCTTTAATTGTGTCCAATCGGATGTTTTTTGTAATAGAAAAAAATTCCCATATCTCACGTTAGGGGGAGCTGTTATGAGTGAACATATGTAAGGTAATGGGGAAAAATTCCCATATCTCACATTAGGGGGCGCTGTTATGAGTGAAAACTCTGATCATTTGCGTCACTAGATGGCACCAAAGGTCTTCAGAAGGCAATATTTACTTCTGTGAAGTGTCCTTCGTGGTGCTTTTAAAATAATGAAACAGAAGTTCGTTGCATACCATCCCTTTGATGCCTAAAACTATCCCTATATGTTTAATGCTTAAACTTCCCTCTGATCCGAGGGAATTAGCAGTTATTATATTCATACCAACGAGCCGAAAGTGAAGGTGAGCAATGAGGTACCCATTTTACAATAGCGTACC